CCCTGAGAGAGGCCTCTCCTGCTCTCCCTTTTTTGTTATTTAATTGTTAGCAGTTAGCCTAATAAACACACTGTTCTGTATATTGCCTTTTTCACATAATGTATTTTTGAGATTTGAGATTGTTCCATATTAGCCTCTCATGAGCTTCCTAATTCCTTTTCTTTTAATATTTAAAGCATTCTATTGAATGAATGTCCCAAAATTTATTTAACCAGGCTTATATTGATGGACATTTCGGTGGTTTAAATCTTTTCTTTTATACACAGCACTGCAATTATTGATCTTGTACATGTACCATTTTTCACATGGGAAAGTAAATTGGTAGAATAAATTTCTAGAAGTGGATTTACAAGGTTAAAGTCTATGTGCATTTGTAATTTGTTACATACTGCTCAATTTTATAATTAGTATTTTAAATGTCTTCTTTTTAATACTTTCATCTGAGAATTAGCATTTATCTTACTCTTTTCCAAAAAAGGATGAAAGGTGGCTTACCTTAAAATTATAATATGTGTGTTGAAGTTATGTTAGTTCTCATCGGCCCGTTGTATTGAGTTTCTTCTTTCCTTTAGTATCAGATCTGCATCTTCCTTCCCTTATCAGCCCTCTCCACACCCCTGGCAGTTTTATCTAGGCATGTGATTACTCAGGTAGAGATGACATGTCTCAGTTTTCCTGTGTGGCTAAGTCGTGACCATGTGGCTAAGTGTGAGTAAAAGTGGTACATGCAACTTCTGGGTTGTCTCCTTGTAACAAAGCCACTTGTCTGGGACTTTCTTTCTCCTTATGTGGGTTGAAATGGGGATGTAGCATTAACCCAGCTTAAACCAGGCAGGTGAGGATAACTACCTAGGGGTGGTGGAACAAGAGGTGGAAGGAACCTGGACCTCTGAATGACCTTAGGGAGCAGAGTGGCCTGCCAGCTTGTCCTGCTTTCTTCTGGGCTGTAAGATGAGAGAGCACGCATGTAATACTAATCTTATTTTAGCTGATGTATGTTTGATCTTTTTGAGAGAGCCTAGACTGTACCCTAACTGATACAGAATGTAATGTAGACATAGACGAGAAAGAATAGATAAAGAGAAAACTGGAGTTATAGAAATGTGTATTTTAGGTCTTTGGCTGTTGCTGACTTAGTTGGAGTTGGGTAAATCAGTGTATTAGCAGTAGGAAAAGGAAAGTACTTTGAGCATATTGATCTGTCTGGATGATTGGGTCGATAAAGATACTTTGGTGGCCTTACAGGCCACCAGATTATAATTCTACCACTGTTGAAATTCATAAAATACTTCCTGTGTTTATTCATTTTCAATCATGCTAGTTTGTGTATCTGTTTTATTTTTTCCTCAATACTGACTAGCTATAGTGCCTATTCATTTTATTATAGTTTTCTTCAGGCTTGACTGAAACAGAGCAGGATATGACTATTTTCCCATGTTCCGATGGTTGTATAAGGCAGTAGTTGTATTTGCTTAGCATTTTGCCTTCCACTAAGTGCTTCTCTTTGTCAGTTAAGATCAGTTTCAGCCGTAAATAGCTGAAAACCCCAAATAATAGTGATTGGGAAAAAAAGACTAAGTTATTTCTCTCCTGTGGGAAAGTCTGAAGTAGGGAGTTCAGGGTTCCACGTGGTGTGCACTGATCTACAGTATGTAATAGCTTCAGGCTCTTCCTGTCATGCTCTTTTTGTTTTTCCTGCTGTTATGGTCTCAAATTTATGGTCGGAGATGGCAGCATCTGTGTACTAGGCAGCAAGACAGAGGAAGGAATGAGTATGAGAGCAAAAGGCGCCTATGCGCTATCTGTTATGGATAATTTCTTGAAGTTGTCACAACATTTATGCATGTATCCCATTTACCAAAATTTAAGTCACATGGCCAGCTAGCAGCTGCAGAGGCCAGAAAATGTATTGATTATATTTTGTAGCCACCTGTCTAGTTAAAATTCCTTTACCATGGAAGAAATGGGGAGCTGTAATAGTTTGAAATGGAGAACCAAATTCTATGAAATGGATAGCCATTTTGTGGATGGAGTGGAGAATATATATATATTTTTCTTCATCAGACTCTTTATTTCTTGGGTGAGGATTTATTTGAAAACCAATTTAAAATTGCATTAGTCATCTATGGCTGCATAACAAATCTCCCCAAACTCAGTGGCTTAAAACTTCTATTATTTCACAGTTTCTGTGGGTTAGGAATGCAGGCATGGCTTAGCTGGGTTGTTTGGCTCTGGGTCTCTCACAGGCTGCAGTCATCTCAAGCCTTGACTAGAATAGATCTGCTTCCTCGCTCATTCAGTTCCTTGTAGGTTAATGGACTGAAGCATCAAGCATCATGACCTGTTGGTCAGAGGCCTCTTTTGTTTCTTTGACACATGGTTTCTCCACAGAGCATCTCACAACATGGCAGCTTGCTTCATTAGAGCAAGCAAGTGAGAAGGCAAGAGAGAACATGCTAGCAGGATTGAAAGTTAGAATTTTTATAACCTAATCATGGAAGTAACATCTCATCACTGAGATGTTAATATTTAAAAATAAATATTAATTGTTATCCCATTATCAACAGGGAATTATTTTAATCAATTACAGAGAACTATGCCTTTGCTAAAAATGAGGATGTAGATTTGTTGTCATGGAAAGTTGTCTGTGATCGGTGGGAAAAAAAAAATGGAAATATATATATATATATATATATATATATAAACTGAAAAAATCTATAAAATACTATGTATAACAACCAATTTTTGTTTAAAAATTTAAATGAAATTGATATGTGTTTGACTGGTCATACACATATGCATAGAAAAATTTCTGGAAGTATACAACAAAGTACTTAGCATTATTTTTTTCGTGCTAGGTGGTATTAGCAGATTTAAAAAGTTTTTTATTCTATATTTGTTTGTTTATTTTTAATTGTTGTGAAATACATATAACCTAAAATTTACCATCTTATCCATTTTTAAGTGTTCAGTTTAGTAGTGTTATGTACCTTCATGTGGTTGTGCAACCAAATACAGAACTCTTTTAATCTTACAAAACTGAAACTACACCCATTAAACAACTACCTATTCCCCCTTCCCCCAGCCTCTGGCAACTACCATTCTATTTTCTGTTTCTATGGATATGACTATTCTACATACCTGATATAAGTGGAATGATACAGTATTTGTCTTTTTGTGATTGGCTTATCTCACTTAGCATAAGGCCTTCAAGATTCATTCATGTTATAGCAAGTGTAAGGATGTCTTCCTTTTTAAGGCTCGATAATATTCCATTGTATGTATAAACCACATTTGGTTTATCTATTTATCTGTCAATGGACACTTGAGTTGCTTCCGCATTTTGGCTATTGTGGATGATGCTGCTTTGAACATGGGTGTGCGCATATATCCCTCTGAGACCCTGATTTCAGTTCTTTTAGGCATATGCCTAGAAATGGAATTGCTGGATCATATGCTACCTTTGTTTTTATTTTTTAAGGAACCACCGCACTCTTCTCCATAGCGGCCGCCCACTTTTACAAACCACCACCAGTGCGCCAGGGTTTCAGTTCCCCTGCAGCCTCCCCAGCACTTGTTTTCTGTTTTTTGTTAATAGCCATCCTAGTGTGCTTGAGGTGGTTCCCTGTTATTTATTTTTGATAAGTGTTGCTATTACTTTTTATATTGATATTGAACGATAAAGATATTTCCATTTTGTAAAAATGGAATGAATTAACAACTTTTTATTTTTCAGTATTTATTTATAATGTTTTCTATAGCAGCTGGTACTGCCTTTATTTCAGATGCAGTAATAAATTGTTGGGATATTAGGGTTGATTGTTAGGATAAATTAGAAGCTTGATGCTGAAGGCTATTTTGAAGTTTTAGTAAGGCACTGTGAATATCATAGTAAACATCTTAATTGTTTTTCAGCACTCGAAGTTGGAAACCCAAGACTTACCAGTCTTGGTAAATGTTAACTGCTCATTTTTTGATGGAATATTTTTGCTCAGCCTTTATTGACTAATTAAACTTATGTTTACCAATGTCTTTTTAAAAAACAACCTGACTTGAGGTGTAATTTACCATAAAATTAATCTGCTTTAAGTGTAAAATTCAGTGATTTTTAGTGAAGTACTGGGTTGTGCAGCTATCGCCATAATCCAGTTTAGAACATTCCTATTGCCCCAGTAAGATCCCTTGTGACCAGGACCTTTCTTGACTCTATAGAATTTATGGCAAAAGATTTCTTATAACAGGGCTGTATTTATTGCTTCTCTTCTATCTACTGTACCTCCTCTGTGAAATACACACAAATAGTCAAATAGTGTATATTTTATTTAGGGGACTGTATAGTGATGCTTCTGAAGTGTGTTTGCATTTGCACAACTTTTAGCAAGGAAGATCTCACATCAGAGAGAAAATTCTTTCATGTTTATTTTAGAGAGTCCCAATTAAACACTTTGCAGTTTGACTTTAGTTTTTGATCTTTTACAGCTGGTTTATTTTTAGCAGATCATAGTAGCAAAGATTGACAAGCCCTTTCAATTATTTGATGCGTATAAATATCAAAACCTTCCTAGGCAGGTCACGCTCATAGATAATTAAAATGAAAAAGAACTAAATAGATAGAACAGTTTATCATTAACAGAGTAATAAATGCAGTTGTAGGCAAAGTTGGTATTTTTCTTCTAACTCACCAGAGGGCACTATTTTCTAGTTTATTACTTTTAACTCTGATCTTTTGACATATTATATTCTACTTTGGAAAATTTAAGTCCTTTATTGGGATCCAGATTTGGATTAATTGGAGACTAATGACTGTTTGCTATTGCAACTTTCAGTCATTTTTTTTGTGATCTGTTTTATAATAGTGTCATTAAAAAAGGATTCTACAAATAAGCCAATCTTAAATGCTTTAGGCGATAGTGTATCTGGCGTAAAATATCTCTTCAGTTTTAGTCTTTTTTTTTGCCTAACAGTTCTGTAATCTCACTTTTCTCTTCATTCATGTTAAGGTTTCAGATCGGGTAGAGCGACGGCTTCAAGAAATAGAAAGAGAGATGCGTACAGAAAGAGAGCTGGTGGAAAGACGGCAGGATCAACTGGGACTTATTTCTTTGCAGCTACAGGAGGTTTGTGAAAAATACCTTCTCGGAATGTAAATCTTGAGTTTTGGTGGTTATTTAGCTATTGTTAAAATCGTTATAATTCTTTAGTTGTTGCATGTGAAAATATAGTTCAGTCTGTAGAAGTATAGCATATTGGTTATAGTTCATTGTGTGAAGACAAACCTACCTGGTTCAAACCCAGAGTCTACGCCTTACTGGCTGTGTGACCTTGGGCAAGTTCCTTCACTTCTAGGCCCATTTCCTCTGTGGAAAATGGAAATAATAATAGTATTTACTTGATCACATTGGTGCAGGGGTAAATAAGTTAATGTGGGTAAAGCACTTAACGTAGTGTCTAGCATGTGCTGAATACATGTTAACTGGAAGTATAATTATTTGGATTAATTTTCTTTGGTGTGAACTAAACCAGGGGTAAACAAACTGGCCTATGGGCTGAATCTGTCCCATTGCCGATTTTTGTAAATAAAGTTTTATTGAAACGCAGCCACTCCCATTCATTTTCAGTTTGTCTGTGGGTGCTTTTGGGACACACCGTTGGCAGAGTTGAGATGTTGTGAAAAAGACCATATGGCCCACAAAGCTTAAAATTAGTATTGACTGGCCCTTTATAGAAAAAATTTGCAGATCCCTGGCCTAGACTATCATCAAACCAATTCAAAACGGAGGTTACTTACACTTTAGGTAACCTGTTTATTTCGAAATTTTACACTTATGAAGAAGTTGAATAATTAGAACAAAGAATTTCTGTATATCCTTTACCTTGATTCCCCCAGTATTCATATTTTACCAGACTTGCTTTATTGTTTTATATATGTATCTCCATATATATGTATATCTAAAAATTTTTTTGAGCTAGTTGCTGACATGATGTAAATACTTTTAAATCTAAATAATACGGTGTGTACATTCTCTTCTGTAGTCACAGGAAATTAACATTGGGTCAATACTATGATTTAACCTATAGGTTTTTAAAAAATTTTTTATTTTACGTCTTTATTGGAGTATAATTGCTTTACAATGTTGTGTTAGTTTCTGCTGTATAACAGGGTGAATCAACTATATGTATACATATATCTCCATATCCCCTCCGTCTTGAGTCTCCCCCCCAACCCTCCCTATCCCACCCCTCTAGGTGGTCACAAAGCACAGAGCTGATCTCCCTGTGCTATGTGGCTGATTCCCGTTAGCTATCTGTTTTACATTTGGTAGTGTATATATGTCAATGCAACTCTCTCACTTCATCCCATCTTACCCTTCCGCCTCCCCATATCCTCAAGTCCATTCTGTACGTCTGCGTCTTTATTCCTGTCCTACCCCTAGGTTCATCAGAACCCTTCTTTTTCTTCTTTTTTTTAGTTTCCACATATATGTGTTAGCATATGGTATTTGTTTTTCTCTTTCTGACTTACTTCACTCTGTATGAGAGACTCTGTGTCCATCCACCTCACTACAAATAACTCAATTTTGTTTCTTTTTATGGCTGAGTAATATTCCATTGTATATATGTGCCATATCTTTATTCATTCATCTGTCGATGGACACTTGGGTTGCTTCCATGTCTTGGCTATTGTAAATAGTGCTGCAGTAAACATTGTGGTACATGTCTCTTTTTGAATTATGGTTTTCTCAGGGTATATGCCCAATAGTGGGATTGCTGGGTCACATGATAGTTCTATTTTAAGTTTTTTAAGGAACCTCCATACTACTCTCCATAGTGGCTGTATCAATTTACATTCCCACCAACGGTGCAAGAGGGTTTGCTTTCTTCCACACCCTCTCCAGGATTTACTGTTTGTAGATTTTTTGATGATGGCCATGCTTACTGTTGTGAGGTGATACCTCATTGTGGTTTTGATGTGCATTTCTCTAATGATTAGTGATGTTGAACATCCTTTCATGTGTTTGTTGGCAATCTGTATATCTTCTTTGGAGAAATGTCAGTTTAGGTCTTCTGCCCATTTTTGGATTGGGTTGTTTGTTTTTTTGATCTTGAGCTGCATGAGCTGCTTGTAAATTTTGGAGAATAGTCCTTTGTCAGTTGCTTCGTTTGCAAATGTTTCTCCCATTCTGAGGGTTGTCTTTTTGTCTTGTTTATGGTTTCCTTTGCTGTGCAGAAGCTTGTAAGTTTTACTAGGTCCCATTTGTTTATTTATTTATTTTTTTCCATTTGCCTAAGAGGTGGGTCAAAAAGGATCTTGCTGTGATTTATGTCATAGAGTGTTCTGCCTATGTTTTCCTCTATGAGTTTTATAATGTCTGGCCTTATATTTAGGTCTTTAATCCATTTTGAGCTTATTTTTGTGTATGGTCTTAGGACGTGTTCTAATTTCATTCTTTTACATATAGCTGCCCAGTTTTCCCAGCACCACTTATTGAAGAGGCTGTCTTTTCTACATTGTATATTCTTGCCTCCTTTCAAAGATAAGGTGACCATATGTGTGTTGGTTTATCTCTGGGCTTTCTATCCTGTTCCATTGATCTATGTTTCTGTTTTCGTGCCAGCACCATATTGTCTTGATTACTGTAGCTTTGTAGTATAGTCTGAAGTTAGGGAGCCTGATTCCTCCAGCTCCTTTTTTTTTTCCTCAAGATTGCTTTGACTATTCGGGGTCTTTTGTGTTTGCATACAAGTTGTGAAATTGTTTGTTTTAGTTCTGTGAAAACTGCCAGTGGTAGTTTGATAGGGATTGCATTGAATCTGTAGAGTGCTTTGGGTAGTATAGTCATTTTCACAATGTTGATTCTTCCAATCCAAGAACATGGTATATCTCTCCGTTGTATCATCTTTAATTTCTTTCATCAGTGTCTTAAGGTTTTCTGCATACAGGTCTTTTGTCTCCTTAGGTAGGTTTATTCCTAGGTATTTTATTCTTCTTGTTGCAGTGGTAAATGGGAGTATTTCCTTAATTTCACTTTCAGATTTTTCATCATTAGTGTATAGGAATGCAAGAGATTTCTGTGCATTAATTTTGTATCCTGCTACTTTACCAAATTCATTGATTAGCCTAGTAGTTTTCTGGTAGCATCTTCAGGATTCTCTATGTATAGTACCATGTCATCTGCAAACAGTGACAGTTTTACTTCTTCTTTTCCCATTTGGATTCCTTTTATTTCTTTTTTCTTCTCTGACTGCTGTGGCTAAAACTTCCAAAACTATGCTGAATAATAGTGGTAAGAGTGAGCAACCATGTCTTGTTCCTGATCTTAAAGGAAATGGTTTCAGTTTTTCACCATTGAGAGTGATGTTGGCTGTGGGTTTGTCATATATGGCCTTTATTATGTTGAGGTAAGTTCCCTCTATGCCTACTTTCTGGAGCGTTTTTATCATAAATGGGTGTTGAATTTTGTCAAGCTTTTTCTGCATCTATTGAGATGATCATATGGTTTTTCTCCTCCGGTTTGTTAATATGGTTTATCACATTGATTGATTTGCCTATATTGAAGAATCCTTGCATTCCTTGGATAAACCCCACTTGATCACGGTGTATGATCCTTTTAATGTGCTGTTGTATTCTATTAGCTAGTATTTTGTTGAGGATTTTTTTTATCGATATTCATCAGTGATATTGGTCTGTAGTTTTCTTTTTTTGTGAGGTCTTTGTCTGATTTTGGTATCAGGGTGATGGTGGCCTCGTAGAGTGAGTTTGGGAGTGTTCCTCCCTCTGCTATATTTTGGAAGAGTTTGAGAAGGATGGGTGTTAGCTCTTCTCTAAATGTTTGATAGAATTCACCTGTGAAGCCATCTGGTCCTGGGCTTTTGTTTGTTGGAAGAGTTTTAATCACAGTTTCAATTTCAGTGCTTGATTGGTCTGTTTATATTTTCTCTTTCTTTGTGGTTCAGTCTCGGAAGCTTGTGCTTTTCTAAGAACTGGTCCATTCCTTCCAGGTTGTCCATTTTATTGGCATAGAGTTGCTTGTAGTAATCTCTCACGATCCTTTGTATTTCTGCAGTGTCAGTTGCTTCTTCTCCTTTTTCATTTCTAATTCTGTTGATCTGAGCCTTCTCCCTTTTTTTCTTGATGAGTCTGGCTAATGGTTATCAATTTTGTTTATCTTCTCAAAAAACCAGCTTTTAGTTTTATTGATCTTTGCTATTGTTTCCTTCATTTCTTTTTCATTTATTTCTGATCTGATCTTTCTGATTTCTTTCCTTCTGCTAATTTTGGGGTTTTTTTGTTCTCTCTCTAATTGCTTTAGGTATAAGTTTAGGTTGTTTATTTGAGATTTTTCTTGTTTTTTGTTTGGTGGGTTTTTACCTTGCTCCTCCTTCTGCTGTGTGTTTCTCTGTCTTCTCAGTTTGCTTAGCTTAGTGTGTTTTGTGTCTCCTCTTCTCAGTCTACAGGTTCATAGTTCCTGTTGTTATTGGTGTCTGCCCCCAGTGGCTAAGGTTGGTCCAGGGGCTTGTGTAGGCTTCCTGGTGGAGGGGACTGGTGCCTGTGTTCTGTTGGGTTGGGCTCGATCTTGTCTTTCTGGTGGGTGGGACCACATCCGGTGGTGTGTTTTGGGGTGTCTGTGAACTTGGTATGATTTTAGGCAGACTCTCTGCTAATGGGTGGGGTTGTGCTCCTATCTTGCTAGTTGTTTGGCATGGAGTGTCCAGCACTGGAGCTTGCTGGCTCTTGAGTAGAGCTGGGTCTTAGCATTGAGATGGAGATCTCTGGGAGAGCTCTTGCCGATTGATATTACGTGGGGTCTGGAGGTCTCTTGTGGTCCAGTGTCCTTAACGTGGCTCTCCCACCTCAGAGGCTCAGGCCTGACAGCAGTTTGGAGCACCAAGACCCTGTCAACCGCATGGCTCAGAAGAAGAGGGAGAAAAACAGAAAGAAAAAATAAAATAATTAAAGTAAAATAATTATTAACATAAAAAATTAAGAAGTAAAGAAAGAAGAAGAGAGCAACCAAACCAATAAACAAGTCCACCAATGATATCAAGTGCTAAAAACTATACTAAGACAAACATAAAAATCAGAAACAAGGCAGTCACAGACAGCAAACCCCAAGTC